ATTGTTTTTCAGATAATCTTCTGCTCTTTGTCACGTTTCAGTACTTGCGGCGAGAATAAGAATTTTTGGATGCTAATTGGGCTGAAACTGGAATGAACAGTAATGCGTTAATCACTCATACCTTTTGTGGGCCAGGAACGGTCGACACTAATCAAATTCTTCTCATAGTAGGAGCAAAATTCATTTATAGTCATTCGGACCAAATTTAAAATATCTAGTAGCTAAAAATTATAATATACATTTTATAGTCAAAAATAATTTAATGACTAGCCACCAAAATTGACAAATTGGAGTTTGTCGGAATGACAGCTGCCCACCGATATTGACAAACAGAGGATTTAACTATGTCCTTTCTCTTTCCCCTGTTTTCTCATCAATTGGAGTAAGAAAAATTTATAAGAAAAAACATGTTTTTCTTCAATAAATTTCCTATATTTTTCCCAAAATTTCAAATATCCCACAAAATAAGAATGATCAACAAGATGATCGGAGCAGAAGGGGGAGGAAGACGTAGTTTTATTTGAGGATTATAAAGATGTTTGCTTTATTTGTTAAAGGTAAAATCTTGGGGTTTTATGAATTTTCTGGTGAAATCTTGAGGCTTGTTCTGCTTTTCAGTGAAATAAGTGGCTGGGGGAGTTCTTCTTTTCAGAATTTTGCTCTCTTTATTTGTTTGTTTAATCGTGAAGCACGACAGAGGACACGTATAACCATTTACATTATTTTTCATTTGCAAGAATTATTATTTTTAGTGTCAATAAATAATACTCCCACCGAAAATATTGGAAGTATGAATTAAGGAGAATTACATCAATCACCAATGTTGCCAATTGACAAATTTTGTGAGGGACCAAATAATTATTTTCATTATTTTTTTGACAAGCTATAATCTTTTTTGGCTTACATGGTTTCATCAAATTAGAAAGAAAAGGAAATTTATGAAAAGAAGAATACAATTCTGGTTATAACTTTTAAATTCAGATATGCAATTGGTCATTTGATTTTCCAATTATGTCTTGGTAAGTGGTAGTATACAAGGCAGGAATGTGGTGGAAGGTATATACAAAATAGATTGTCACTATATAAAAATTATACAAAGTAGACTATCACTGTATAATTTATATACAATAGACTGTCACTATACAAAATATATACAAAAAATATACTAAATAGACTGTCACTATACAAAATATATACAATAGACTGTCACTATACAAAATATATACAAAAAATATACTAAATAGACTGTCACTATACAAAATATATACAATAGACTGTCACTATACAAAATATATGCTAAATAGACTGTCACTATACAATTTATATACAATAGATTGTGACTATGCAAAATAGACTGTCACTATACAAAATATATGCTAAATAGACTGTCACTATACAATTTATATACAATAGATTGTGACTATGCAAAATAGACTGTCACTATACAAAATATATACAAAATAGATTGTCACTATACAAAAATAAACAAAATAGACCGTCACTATATAAAAAATATATAAAATAGACTGTCACTATATAAAAAATATACAAAATAGACTGTCACTATACTAAAAATATACAAAATAGATATTTCGGACTATTAGATGCAATAAGTTTAGTCCGAAGGGCCATTTCGTATAAGTGTATAAAACTATGAATTATTAAAATTTTGAGGGGTAATAAAGGATAGTTTTCTCATAGTACTACCCTAACTATTGTCCACTTTTTAGACCCACTAAAACTCAACCTAACATTTTGGGACAAGTTACACATTTAACCTATATGTAAAATATATATATATATATATATATATATATATATTACGGGAGTGATTATACAGTGTAGCCTTTCCTATTTTTTGTCCTGCACAATATTGAATTTTTTTTTGCTTTTTCATATTGATTTAAGTTCTTTAAACTTAATGTATATAGATTCTTTATTTACACTATTAAATTATGCTGACATATAGCGGTAGATATACCTCTTCATCACAAACTTGACATAATAATCTAAAAAATAGGGTAACCTGCTAAGCCGGTTAAGTTATACTAAAACAAATGTATGCAGTTTATATAATTTAAATTCTTTTTTTATATATATGAGAGGGGTATGGAATACTACTTTGGTAATTGGTACTGAAACCTTCCATCTACATGCTGAAAATTAGGGTCTAGCTAAGGGTATATTTGGTACGAAGAAAAATATTTTCATGAAAAATGAGTGCTTTTATCAATTATTTTCCCTTGTTTGTTTGGTTGGTGGGTGAAATTTTTTTTACGGAAAATACTCTTTTTATTGCAATAAAAGAAAATACTTTTTACTACATCATTTTATTAAAATGAAAGAAAATATTTCTTCTACATCATGAAAAGAAAGTACTTTTTTTATTAAAATAAAAAAAAAAAACTTTTTATATACCGTGACAAAAAAATACTCATTTGCTGAAATAAAAAAAATACTAGAAAAGAAAGTACTATTACTAATATTTCTATTTAGGGTAGGGGTGGAGTGGGGGTGTAAGGGTGTGTTGGTCGGGGTTGGTGGGGATGGGGAATGTGGGCAAGGTCGGAAAAATTTTTTGGAGAATATTTTCTCTTCTCTTGATAGGGAAAATATTTTTCTCCAGTTGAAGGAAAATGAATTCATGAGAAAAATATTTTCCAAAGCATTTAAGCCAACCAAACGTGAAAAAATTAGAAAAATCTGTAGTTGTCTCTCAATTAAAATTTGGTATGCTAATTTTAAAATTTGAGATATGACTGCTTTTATGAAAGTAATTTATCTAGAGTACTTTGCTAATGCGTGATGTATCTTTATTTTTGTATAAATAAATAAATAAATGAACTAAACTCTCTAATTCAATGTATAAGATAAAAAAAAATGATTACCTGATTTGATAATCTTTTTAAGAAATTGTTCTGCAATTCCTCGTCACTTTGAGGCTTCCATAGTATCTATTCAGATTAAATGGGCAAAAAGATTCTCCATCAAATTGATCTTCTTTAAATTGGCAGATCTAAGACACGTATAGCACGCGGAAAGGTTAACCTTAATTAGATCCATTATATTATTAGCATATATTTTTAGAGTGGATTATTACTCGGTTTTGCATATGTAGTTTGTATTATTGATGATTACGGAGTTACGCAAGCAATCCGTTTAGCGACGTTTCTATTATTGATAAGGACAAAACGAGGTTTTAGGCCTGCAACGTCTTTTATAATGTTAAATTTAAGAAAATGTCTTTTTAGATCTTTTACGTGTAAAAGAAAAATATTTCACGTATAAAAGTAAATCTCTCATGTGTAAAAAAAAAGACAGGGTCATAAAATTAAAAACAAGTTTGTAAAAAATTAAAAAATCAATTGACCCGGACAAAACTAAGCTAGCCAAACATAAGAGCTTTATTTTCTCTTAAATATATTCCTTAAATTGTCCGATTCGTTTAACCACGTCAAAACGCGCTGTTATGATCTTGAGGAATTTAAAATTAATTATCTATTTCTACATTTGCAGCACGCGCAGAAAATTGACTGGTAGTGTAGGCATTAGTTGTTATAGAGTAATAGGTAATAACAGTTCAAAAGGGAATTGTGGGTATGAGTGCATATACTACATAGGTAGTAGCGGAGTCAAAATAAAACGGTTTAGCCCACAAAAAAGGTAAAAGATCTCAATATATAGTATATATATATAAATTTTTTTTTATCAAACTACGTAGTATAATTTTTGATGAAGGGACGTCGATTTGACATCCTTTGAATACATATAGCTCCATCACTGTACATAGGTACATAGATTTTTCTAATTTGTAAAAGCTTATCGGCACCGAGTGTTTACACAATTAATTAATCCAATTCCCACCTTAGTTTACCAATTACTCATGGCAAAATGAATATAATTTGATATAAACGCTTGTGCGGATAAATATTTTGCCACCTAACTCATTCCTATTACTCCCAATTATACGTGTAGTTGGGAAATTCAGTCTCCTAAAAGGCTAAAACTATTACTATTACCAAAATTTTGGAATTTGTTACATGTATTATATGTTAAGACATTGATATATATTCTTCTAGAAGCTGTGACGTGTCTAATCCTTAAATCGTGGATAGTTCAACCATTATTTGTGGAAATGTAAGGCATATGCAAGTGTTTATGATGTATATCGTATTTTTTTTCCGTCGGAATTAACGTTAATTTATACGAACTGTCGTTAACTTTTTTTTTCTTTTTCGAAGGCTGTATATAACTTTATAATATTAGCATTTTTCTACGAAAATGAAAAAACATAAGAGAAGGTCTATTTTCCTGGAAAAACCTCTTGACAAGTGAACTCCTAAAATGTGTTCAAAAGCACTTAATTTACCTGTATAAACCACTAGGAAGTCCTGAAATAAACTCTATTACAGATTACTTATTCTTTAGCAAAAGCTTAGTGAAACACCTTAAATCTCCAAAATAAATATTTCTTTAAATGAACATATTAGAAAATGCGATGCATACACTAGGGGAATCGAAAAATAATAAAAGGAATGGTGCAAATAAAAGAATATTCATCCATTAGGTAGCAAGTTGTACAAACATAAAGAATGTGGTGCAAATAAGAGAAAATTGTGCATACATTAGTGGTAATATGCAAAAGAACTCCAATATTTTCTCTAGTAAACGAGCTTTCTAATTACTCCAACACTCTAGTACTCGTTATACATATAGTACAATAAATGAAATCAACAATTTAAAGTGTGTGTGGTGCTATTTGAAGTGAAAGACAAGCATCCATGATTTAATTTCTATAAGTTTAATATTTAAAGTTTTTAACATTAAACTCATTATGTTTATAATGTTATGAGTTCATATCTACTATTTTAACAATTTTAATAAAGTTTTGCAATAAAATTTATGTTCCGATGGGCCCATTGAAACTGTAATGCTAAAGAAGGAAGATTCTCGGGTAGGAGGTATTAAAGGAGGGAAGATTCGATTTATATATATAATATGCAAATATCGAGTCTTTAATTCTATCTGCACGACGTGAGGGAAAAACAACATGGAGGGATTGGTTCTTTGCTCTGCAAACTACACACCCTTAACTCCTCTAAGTTTTCTGGAACGTGCTGCATTTGTTTACCGCAAAAGGGTTGCCCTAATTCATGGAAATACAAGTTTCTCATGGGAAGGCTTGCATGGAAGATGTGTCAAGTTTGCTTCTGCTCTTTCTCAGCTTGGCGTCTCCCCTGGTGATATTGTAAGTATAAATTTCCTCTTCACATAATTTGTGGATGATTCAAGATCATATCATAACATGTATAGTAGTAGTTAATTTCTTCTTGTTACAGTTGGAAGCTCTATTTATATTAGCTTTTTCTTTATTCACTCATGAATATACTCCCACTTATCTGCAAAACTTGCATGTGTATATTGGACTTCCATTATAGGGCTCTAGGTTTCATACTGATCAGATGTAGATTCTGAACTTTTTGAAAATATGGGTTCAAGATTATTCACTTAATATTTGTACAGTACGTAATACTACTTTTTTTCATACAATATTTAAGTCCGCCCCCAGCCCGTTCATATATACTTGCACCGTTTAGCTGAAAGCAGCTGCATTTCTCCATTCAAGAGCAATATATAATGTTTCTGTAGATCGAGACTAAATAAATTTCGTCGAAGATAATATTCTTTTAAGTCAATTTAATTTCCTGCAGGCAAAAGATGAAGTGAGCCCACTATAACTTTCTTTTATAAGATCTTCCCTGGAAAATTTACTCTTTAATCAAATGGCTACCATGCATGTTAGAGACTAGCTAGATGCCTAGATCTCGACCAAGTCAACAAGCTATAAGGGAAACACAAGATGCGTAAAAGAAGGGTTTTATTCTATTTACAGTACATATAATAAGACAACTCTCAAACCAATTTGTATTCCTCTTCTTAGTTCTTCCTCTCCCTTAGCTTACAGACGTAGACTTGACTTACAAAGTTTGCCTTATGCTATGTACGTAACCAAAGAAATTCCCCAACTTCGTTATGTTCTTAGTTGTCTGCCATTATAAGTCTCATTTTTTATATATAGACTTGACTGCTTTAATATTAAGTCATTGAATAAGACTATAAGAATATATATATTGAGGCGGTCTTTTTCCATCAACAAACCATATTTGTCCACTTATTAGCTGTTCAAAATCCATTTTAAGAGTTCATACTCAGAATTCTAATAGTAACGACGACAGATCAAGCCTCTCGAGTTTCATGCTCCTGTTGTTCCTTTCATAATCCTTCGTATTTTCTTCAATAAACGTCTAAAAGATGTTAGATAAGCTGCGTCATGGCCTCAACATAAGGGGCTGAGTGGGGACCTCCTCCCCCTTATCCGTAGTGTTAAGCAGATTGTTGGCTTCTTAATAATAAAATATATTGTTTGTCAATTAATTGTATGATCAGGAGTTATTCTTGTTCGCCTATATTTGTTGGCCAGTGCTAATATTCACATTTGATAAAAGATGAAAACCAAAATTTAAGGGAATTCTTTTAAGTTGTGCACTATATTAGAGTGAACAACACGTAGTGTTTGCGCTAAATCAAATCTATTTAACTAATATAAACTAAGAAGAGCATTAAACAAGTTGATGCGAGATAACATATTATTTAACCACTATTAAGTGTAAAAGCTTATGTATCATGCATGTATGTCTTAGTTTGGTTTTCTTGTGTTTAAATATTTTAGACGAAATAAGTCATACATCTATATACGCGTAATATTAATGTAAATTCAAAGAAAAGCAAAATTTTATTGTGTATCTCACATAGAGTATATTAAACATAAGTTATGTGATACATTCTTACTGAATGACAAGTGTTTTTGTCGTCCCACTTGTTTAATTGATGAAAGAATTTAAAAGGAGGAGATGGAAAAGTATTCCAAATTGAGACAATAAAATACTAACCAAAAAAATAAATATGCATGTATGTATAGAAACACTCATACACGGAAGCTTTCTAGAATTATATATGTTAGCTACTTTTTATGATTAAGTGACAAATTAAGATTAAAATACATATTAACTGTGGTTAGAGATAAATCTCTTATATAAAGACACATGTCATACACTAATTATTTTTTCATTATATATATATATATATATATATATATGCATCACGTATAATATGCACTTTTTATAGTATTTTCTGTATGTATACCCCTATATTACAAGATGAGGTGGAGTAAGATTTGTTGTTCAAAATGTTAGTAGTCTTAAGGTATTTATATTCAAGTGTGCTAATTTCTAACTTTTACTTTTGGAGAATCTAGCAAAAAAACAAAAATCGGGAGACAAAACAAAAAAGATCACGAGAAAACTACCGATTTAATTGAATAGGATAACCCATTGCCGAAGAAGCTAAGAAGAAAAAAAATTATGAAAAGAAACACATATTAGCTATATATATAGTAGAAATATAAGCTCATATATCACGTATGGTCAACCATTATAATTTCTACTAACAGTAAGTTAAGTATGTACTCCATTTCATGATTTAAAATGAAAAGAATGCGATTAATCACGTGTAAGGATGTGCATACTCGTTTGAGTTTTTTGTTCCTTATTTGAGTGCTTTACTTGGAAAAAATTTGCACTACCATTAACCAAATTCCTCGTCTCAAATAGTAGTAATGAAACTGTCTCGCATTATATTAATTTGAATTTCTAGATCAGAACATATACACCTTAATGGAAAAAAAATACTAGTTATGCTCTTTCCTTATAATATTTCACTAAGCATATCCTACTTTCTTTTTCTCATTGTGTTGGCTCTGACTTGGCATTGTAGTATTTATTCTTTGTAGTTTTTAGCAATCTGTTAAAGATCCACATGGGAAAATTGATGACTAGGTGCAATTAATATGGCTGATGACCATAGGAAAACATCTAGACATATGAATTCAATACTGGAGAAGTCAATGGCCACATAGTTTGGAAGTAATTTATATGCATGAGCAATTTTCCTAAGTAACATGCATGAGCTATACTTGGTCTTTAACTCAAATTCTGCTAAAATCGATACAACGGCACCAGGGCGGCTCAAGGACATGTGGGGCCTAAGGCCAAAATTTAATATGTGGCTTAAGTATTTATAAAAATATTATAATATTTATTTTTATTTAAAATCTATTCTTCTAGATTTTTGAGATGCAAAGTTGTTAATAATTTTTTCATAATCGATTTTTTCTAATAATTTCTTTTCAATTGATAATATAGCCAAGGCATCTAATCTTTCTTGAGACATTGTTGATCTTAGGTAAGATTTTATCAATTTTAAGTTTGAAAAACTTCTTTCTGCTGAAGCAACTGTTGTAGGAACTGTTAACATTATTCTATAAGCAATATAAGCATTTGAAAAAAAATCAAGTCTTTTTATTTGATTGAGTATATCGATTAGAGTATTATCTTCTACTTGTACTATTTCTCTTAACAATTTTAATTCGGAAAATAAGTCTAAACCATCAATATCAGAGTGACTGCTATGTTTTAAGGAACATTCAAGGTTAAGACAATATTTTTTTAAATTCTCGTCATCTAATGATCTCAATGTTTTGCCACTAAATAGAAAACCAAAGATATTTTCATATACTTCAAATTGTTCAAATCTATTTTGAAGTGAAACAATGGCTTGATCTACGATGTATAAGAAGTAATCAACTCTAAAAGATTGTCACGATCCAAAATCCACTATAGGTCATGATGGAGCCTAACATCGCCGTCAGGCAAGCCAACGGTGATTGATCGACTTGTTTACTCATTTTATTACTTTGAAATCATAATTTTCATTAATTAAATAGTATAAAATAGAATTTACAGGGTAAATGATAATATTTACACGAACTACAATAATGAACAACCCATAAGAATCCCCAAAACTCGGTGCCACCAGTGCATGAGCATTAACTAGGAAATATAATAAAATACAACATATGTCTGGAATACAGGTTAGACAGGAGAATATAAATAACTACGATGGAGACTCTGTATGCTGCGGATCGTAACATGAAATACAGCTCACTGTAAAGTCCCCGCAAATGCCGCGCCTCTGCGCCCAGAGGACCATCAGAAACATATATATACTTGCACAATAAGTGCAGTAAGTGTAGCATAAGTACGTAAATCAACGCGTACCCAGTAAGTATCTAGCCTAACCCAGAGAAGTAGTGATGAGGGATCGACATCGACACTTACTAGTGGCCCAATAAGACAAATACAGTAAAACTAAACAGATGTGAGGTAGAGTAAATACACATAATAACAAGTACAATACGTGGTACAATCTTCCTCTCAACAATAAACTCGAGCTCTCAATTAGAAGTTACCTCCTCAACCAGAGTATATATATAATGGGCCTCACCAGATAGGTCGTCACAGTTCAAATCAGGAAAAACTCATAGATACACTAACTTTTTGTCAAATATTACGCACGATTCCATAAGAGTATTTTATAGGAATGCCGAGGCGTACGACCTGATCCCATCATAATATGTGCACTGACGAGGGTCGAACAACACGAACCATAGATACATCTATTATATTGCCGAGGCGAACGACCCGCTCCCATTAGAGTGTGATACATAATCCTACCGAGGCGAACGACCCGATCCCATCATAATATGCGCACTGTCGAGGGTCGAACGACACGAACCATAGATGTATCTATTATACTGTCGAGGCGAACGACCCGACCCCATTAGAATAAGAAGCTTTAACGGATCCTTGACCCCACTTACGAATAAACGTGTGAGTTATAGATTTTAAGAAAAATCTTTTGAGGAAAAAGTATAGCACGGGAGAAATTCGTAAGAGGAGTACAATTATTCTGCGGCTAATCATGAAGCACGTAAAATCTCTACAATAGCAAGTCTATCACTCTACGCAAGTCTAGTATCAAGTTGTAACATAAAATAAAGGAATTTAATAGGCAAGGGGCAGCTCAAATTGTACAGTTATAGCATGGCGGGAACCTAAGTCTACCCGGACATAACATGAATGTAGCTACGTGCGGACTCTCTCTATCTCGTTCGTACGTAGCCCCCGCAATAAGTAGCACATATCAAATACATCACCTAGGGGTATTTTTCCCCTCACAGAGTTAGACAGGAGACTTACCTCACTCCGAAATTCCATAACCGGCTCCAACGCTACTCTAACACCTCAAACCGATGCCCGTATCTCCAAAACTAGTCAAACAATGTGCAAA